GTCGTATCGAAAAACTCTTCAGCCAGTAATACCTCAGTTTTTCTCTTTTTCATGCAACAAAGGTTGCCAACCCCATTTTTTGCAGCTTTTCATGCAAAACTGACCAAAATTGACTGAAAACGGCCAGGCCGAGAGAAGACACTACCTTGGGCGGCGAAGCTAGCATTGGAGCACGGTGGTAGCGTCGTGCCGGAACCTTAAATTGGCCAGAAAAATAAAAAAAATGCTTATTTTTTGTCTTTTTAGAATATTTTAGAATATATGACACGTGTTTTTTATTTTCGCAGAAAAAATTTAAAAAACCCGAGGACCGCCAGGAAGTACAGTGAAAGAGACTGTGTTTCAAACACTAATCTGAGATAAGAATCTCTCACTTTTTTCTCCTGTTACGATAAATTAAAGTTTAATAATTAATAACGGTATATTTTTGTAAAAATTAGAAACCTCTAATTAATTGAGTACAGGTCAACAGTGGAGTCAATAACTGATCAGTGTATAATTGCGCTACCTGTATTGCCTATTTATTCTAATACTACCTAAATTACAATTATTTATTGATTTTAATTACTTTTTCGCTTATTAATTACTTAGCAGTTATTCTCACATGTTGACTAATTTGAAGTAAATGCCCTAATTCCTTTTTTTAATTGTTTGTATTGTTTATTTACATGTCATACTATCGATTTGTAAATATAAAATGATTATGTGTAATTAGTGGCTGGTTAATTATGTGAATATGTATATAAAAGGCTTATCGGGTATCATGAAAAAGAGTGTATGGACCCGGTACATAAGGTAAACCCTGCCATAGATATAAGCTCAGTCGAACGGAACTGAAAAGTCTCATACCGGAAGGGGTTAGGTGGTATAGTTTATCCTTATACCAGACAGGGTATTGAGGTAGTGGTACGTTTGACGCCTATTATCCGACGAGGTATAGAGATGACCGGTTAATTGATAAATTAGATATTGGATTCACGCATAGAGGGAACCCCTATAGACCCACAGAGGTATTAGTAAGTAGGTAAAAGATAACGTTTACTATTACTATTCCTTTAAATGTGTAATAAATTGCTATCCTGATTATTGCTTTCATAGGCCAGTTCTGAAAACTCAAAAAGGTGAGAATAAAACTTACGTTTTTATATATTAAATGAATTTATTTAAAAAAAAATGACTACATTAGTTGTTTTACGATTTTTACCAATATTTAGTTTCTATATCAGAGTTAAGTGTTGACATTCTTACTGGGCTAGTGTAACTCATCTCCTTTATTTAACAATTTCAAATTAAGAAGACCAAGATCTGGATTCTAAAGCGCAAGAAGGTTGCGACTAAAAGTTGCCTCTCGCATCCCATAGAATTGACCAGCGGAGGTTAACTCTATAGGATTTTAGTTTCTTTTATGTTTATGTTATTTTGACTTTCTTAAAAATGATATTCTCTTAACCCTATTGGACATTCTAATTTACTGTGTAAAGAATGTAAACCCTAAACTAATAATTGCTTCCATTATTATTTTACTAATTCAATATATTCATGTCCATTAAGTTTTGAGCATTTACACATTAGTCCCATTAAAATCTCATTATA